CATGTGGGGTCATCTTGATTCCCATCATTCCCTCTCTCCTCAAAAGGATTTGTCCTCAAATCATCACCTACATCAAAAGGAGAAAGATCAGAAACATTAAAGGTAGCACTAACATTATATTCACCAGGAAGCTCCAACTTGTATGCGTTGTCGTTTATCCTTGCAATCACTCGAAATGGTCCATCGCTTCTTGGTTGCAACTTAGAACACCTTTGTGCAGGGAATCGCTCCTTCCGCATATGCACCCAAACCCAATGTCCAGGTTGCCCTTTGTTGGCTTGATTTGCATATTGCTCAATTCGTCGCTCTATGTTTTTCTGCACCCTCTCATGTAGTTGCTTAACCAATTCAGCTTTCTTTTTCTCATCCAAACTAGCTTGTTCATCAATAGGTAATGGCAATAAATCCAAAGAAGTGAGTGGATTAAAACCATATGCAACCTCAAATGGCGAAGAGTTAGTTGCTGAATGGACACTCCGGTTATATGCAAATTCAACGTGCGGCAAACACTCTTCCCAGTTCTTCAAGTTCTTCTGAATAATAGAACGCAATAAGGTTGACAACGTCCTATTAACCACTTTTGTTTGTCCATCAGCTGCAACAAAATACCCTAAAAAGACAATCTGATTTGTGCAAAAGGAATACTTTTTAAGGTTAGCAAACAACTTTTCTTTTCTTAGAACCTCAAGTACCATTTGCAAATGCTCAATATGATCAGTTAAACTCTTACTATATACCAGAATGTCATCAAAATAAACAACCACAAATTTGCCAATAAAAGCACGCAAAACATGATTCATTAATCGCATGAATGTACTAGGCGCATTAGTTAATCCAAATGGCATAACTAACCACTCATATAAACCATGTTTTGTTTTAAAGGCTGTTTTCCATTCATCACCTTCCTTCATCCTAATCTGATGATATCCACTCTTTAAATCAATTTTAGAGAATATGCAAGAACCATGTAACTCATCTAAAATGTCATCTAATCTAGGAATAGGGTGACGATACTTTACAGTGATTTTGTTGACCGCGCGACAATCAACGCACATACGCCAAGTCCCATCCTTCTTAGGCACAAGTAGCACTGGAACTGCACATGGACTCATGCTTTCTCTCACATGTCCCTTTTTCATGAGTTCTTCGACCTGCCTTTGAAGTTCTTTCGTCTCGTTGGGATTGCTTCAATATGCTGGTCGGTTTGGAATTGTTGCACCAGGAATGAAGTCAATTTGATGCTCATTAAGTTCTTTCCTCTTATTGGTGGGTAAACCATTAGGAACGTCATCTGGAAACACATCCTTGAAGTCCTGCAAAAGAGATTTAACAACACTAGGCAAAGAATCATTAAGTTCATTAGTGTTGAAATAAGCATCTTTATACAGAAGCACAAACATAGGCTGCTTTGCAAAGAATGCAGCCTTGACATCACTTTCTTTTGCATAAACACTCACTGAATTTCTCTCTTTGTTTTCAACACTCTCAATCTTTTCTCTCTTTTTGGACTCTTTTTCTGCTGTTTTCTCTTTGTTTTTCATACCCTCAAGGTCACTCTCATTTCTCAGCTCACTCTCAGTTGATCCTCATAAACCTGCCTTGGACTCAATGGTGCAAGAGTAATTGTTTTTCCCTCCATGACAAATGAATAGTGATTTTTGAAGCCATCATGTGTTACTCTCCTATCATATTGCCATGGTCTCCCCAAAAGTAAATGTCCAGCAGGCATGGGAACCACGTCACACAGTACCTCATCCTTATATCATCCGATAGAAAATGAAACCAGAACTTGCTTATTTACCTTGATTTCTCCACAATCGTTTAACCATTGCAGTTTATATGGCCTTGGATGCTTCATCATAGGTAAATTGAGCTTTTCAACTAAAACAGTGCTATCTGCATTAGTACAACTACCACCATCAATAATCACACTACATACCTTGTTTTTGACATGGCACCTCGTGTGAAATATATTGTCACGTTGTACTTCATCATCTTCTTTGGCTTGCACATTCAAAGCTCACCTAGTGACAAGCAGTTCTCCACCAATGGCATATTCCACCTTCTTTTCCCACTCCAAATACACATCTGGATCATTTTTGCCTTGGAATGGAGGAATCTTCATCTTGATGCTGCCTAAGTCGTGATCTTGCTGATCTCCCCACCTTGCCAGATTTTGGTCTCCTTTGTTAAATCTATATCTTTGACCCCCTCTACCTCTCATAAATCTGTCCATGCTGAAATTTGAGTTATGGGCATCATCGTTGAATGCATCTTCATCATTGTCATCAAGATCGTGATTATGCAAATTTGGACTTCCATTCTGTATTTGGTATAACTTGGCAATGGCTGCATCTTTCTTCTCCATTTTGTCTTTAATTTCACCAAACATGATGTCTAGCCTTTGAAATTGTTGTTGAGTAGCTTTGAGCATGAAGGAATCATCCACTTGGTGTTTTCTGTCATCACCGCTTGACATGATTGAGGTCATTTATGCTAAATTACATAGTTTGCGTCAAAATCCCGCAATTCTATCGCAATTTGTAACAAACTGATATTTCATGTTACTTTAGGTTACTTTTAATGATTTTCACGTTTTTTATATAATTTTGGGCTGAACATTCATTTATTTGAGACCTAATTTGTGGTTATTAGGATTTAGGGCTTAGGGTGTTAGTTTCCTATTCTGATTAGAATTATTTTTCCCTATTTAAAGGACTTGTAACCCTAATTGGGGACAGCTAATCTGAGTTTTTGAGAGACTTTTTTCTCTTTGGTTTGTTTCAGATTTTTACAGAACTTATTAAGATTATTCTTGTGGCGTTATAACCTCACTTATTATTTTCTCGTTCTTAATCGTTCGAGGGTGTGGCGTCAACCAACTTTATACCTCTGGTTCTTGTTGTGTCATAGACAATGGGTCAAGGGTTTTACCTTTGGTTTTTGTTGTGACATAAACAACGGGTCAAGGTCCTATTATAAACTTGATTTGGCTTTTCTGGAGTTTAGAAATCCCTTGTCATGCTGTGAGTCTCATTGTTCTCTTTGGGGTTCTCATCATCCTCTAATTAATAGTTGGATTCAAAAAGAAAAGGGCTTGAGCTAAATCTTGTGCTTCAAGGAATTTGAGATTTGTCTTTCAAACTTTTTCTCCTTAATAGTAATTTGGAACTTACCCTTAACAAGGAGTTGAGGCATCCCTTAGCTAGGATTTGGAACTTTGAGAATTGTCAAGGTCCTTAAAGCTTGCAATTTTCTCCTTCCTCTCCTCCTCTTCTTCTTGCCTTTCTTCCCAAATCAATGGCCTATTTATAGCCAAAGAAAGCTTGCCAAATGACTTCAAATACCCTTCACTCTAAGGATAATTTAGTCATTTCATAAATAAATTTAATTTAATTAAAGAGAAAATCTCTTTTTAATTGACATGTCTAAACTAGTGGTGTTTTGCAAATATTGAAGTATTGGGTGAATCTAATTTTCTAAGAAAATGGATGAAGATGTGAGAAGTTCTATCATAAAGAGTTATTGATATAATTAAATTAAGAGGTTATAGTGGGGGAAGAGATTGCAATGAGAATGGCATTGAATAATTTTATACTTGTTGAGTTGAAGAGTACTCCATGAAGTCATATTTAATTTATTCTCTTACTTGTTGACGGTATTAAGAAAACGAATTCATAATTAATGATTGCGAGCCATGAAAATGCTGGGGTTGGTTGTCCTAATTATAATGGAACATTTCATTCTTATTTTGTTAGGCTCTTGATCGTTCTAATCATCTTAGTGTTGGTTCTAGTGTTATCTTATATTCTACGATGTGAGATAAGTGAAGTTATGGTGTTACCTTTGATTTTAAACTAAGCTTTTAAAGCATGACTTTGAACTATTTTGAGGTAGTAACAGGAGTTAACTCGTTTATTATGGCTTGTATGACATGATAATGTTTTTGAATATCTAGTTTTATATTTTCTGAAGAATAAGCATGCCTATTTATACATGATTTAGTACTATTTTAAGATAAACATTTAGTTGAAAAGAAATATAGTTTATATATGTCGAAATTTGGAAAAGTGGGTATCAACCTTTATTGCAAAAAATTAGGTAAAAAAAAATCTCAAAACTACATTATTTTAATTAAGTCACATTGAAAAAAAACTATAATATCCTAATTTTTAAAGTAGAAGTGAAGTTGTTTTATTCTTTCTTGTGGTGTTTTATTAAAAACAATGTAATTGTAGGGTCTCTTTTACTTAATTTTTTACAATATAGGTTGATAACTACTAATCCCTATATACAGAAATATGAAAATCAGGATGTCTTGACGCTCAAGACATCTATCACAACCATCCATGAATGGACCTTACCCTTGGGATCCACTCAATGGATGGCTATGATAAATGTCTTGAGTGTAGGACGTCCTAATTTTTTAAGCTCTCCCTTATATATATATATGGACAATAATTGGTATCTACTCAATTCAACACACTGCATATCACACTCATTAAAAAAATCACTATTTCTTGATCTAAAATTAAAGATAGAGAAGTTTAAAGATACAATCATGCAGACAAGATGTAGGAATCGACTAAATCAACAATATTTATCTTATATATTTTAATGGTTGAACCGAAAGTGTGTCCAAAAATATGTTGAATCAAGTATGTATCAATCATTTTTCTATATATATATATATATATCTTGCATGATTTTATTTTTGATATGGTCATAATTCTATGCCTGCTAGTGGAAAGTTAAACATTGGCCATGACGACATGTTATTTGTGAATCGGTTTATTTTTGTTATTTTTGTCACTTGCTAGTAGGAGTGTAAACACTAGTTATTTTTGTGCTCACTAGTTGGAGGTATTAAACATTGGCCATGGTTGTAAAGAAGATCACTTATTGATTTTTCCACATGGCACTAGGTTTTTCTTTTTTGATATATATTTTAAGAAATTAATATTAGGCATGCCTTCTCTTAAATTAAACAAAAGGGTTACTGTAGTTTACTTATGGGGATTTACCTCACATTTTTCCTTATCCACCATTTCAAACAACGAGATTAGAGATGATAGATTTAGAGTGTGTGATGTCTTATGACTAGTTGATTTAGATAGACATTGAACTATGGTTAGACTAGATATTATGATAACTTAGAATAATTGGGAACATTTTAAATTATGATGATTTAGAACTTATAACTTGGATATTGGATTTACATTCAGGTAATTTCATGGATATTAAATTTATTTGGAGTTTTATAACTTATACATTTAGTTTTGAGCCTTGTGCACTTTTGGAGCCTACTCACAAGTATATGGTGTTTGTTTTGCTTTTGGGTTTGAGGCATGACAAGAAGAAAATGGCATCTAATTCACTCATGGGTTAGGGCATGATAAGAAAATGCCATATCTATTGAACTTAACATACTAATTGCACACTAGTTTGTTGTCTTAGTTTTGAAAACCCCCTCTAAATCTGGTGTTAAAACCAAATAAAATTAATATAATTAACAAAAGAACTAAAAAAGTTTATGAGATTCAATGAATATAAAACAAATTTGATCTCATAAATAATAAAAGTAGAAGGAATGGTATCATACCATATAGAACTAATGAGCTATTATGGGAGAAGCATATTTATCCTATACAAATATCAGCAATAAAAGAACGATTAAAAAATTTAGCATTTTAAGCAACACAAGAACGATAAAAGTTAATTTTCTAACAAAATTAACTTCAAAGACTAAAGATTCATAAGAGTTATAATTAAAGCTCAATTTGTCTTATTAGAGTAAAACTATTGTTGAAAAACTAATGGCTAAATTCAATAAATAGTCTATTAACTATGTGAGTTATTTCAGTTTAGTTTAAAAATAATTTTTTCTTTCAAAATGATCTATGAACTATCAATTTTGTTTCAAATTGGTCTACTTGACAAACATTCCGTACTAATAGAATTCCCCTAAACTTTTGAAAAATGTTTATATAGTACATATATTTTTATTTTTTACAACATTTTATTTTTAAAATTCAAATTTTTTGTCAAATGTAATAATTAACTAAGATGAAATTTCAATTTACATTAATTAAGATTCTAATTTTAATTTACAATAATATTATAATTTAAATTTTATTATTTCTAAAAAAATCTAATTTTTTATTAAATATAATAATATTTTTAATAAATAAACTCTTCCAAAATTTAATTTAATTAAATGAGCACCCACACATAATTAAAAATTCATTTCAACTTTGTAAATCCCCAAATTAAAATCATGCATGTATCATTAGTGTTAAAAATAAAAATAAAATTTTTTATTTTTCTATACAAATTAGTGAAAAAGTATGTAATTTAATAATGGTATTAAGTTTTTTTATGAAATAATAAAATTTAAATTATAATATCGATTATTGTAAATTACAATTAGAATCTTGATAAATGTAAATTAAAATTATTATCTTAATTAATTATTACATTTAATATAGAATTTAAATTTAAAAAACAAAATGTTGCAAAAAAATAAAATATATGTATTATATTAACATTTTTTAAAAGTTTAGGAAGCAACTTGTTTACACCAGCTTATTTAGACAAACGTTCTGTTAGTCTAGTTAACAGAATATTTGTCAAATAGATCATTTTGAAACAAAATTGATAGTCTATAAATCATTTTGAAACAAAATTGATAGTCTATAAATCATTTTGAAAGAAAAAATTATTTTTAAACTAAACTGAAATAAACCACAGTTAATAGATCATTTATTGAATTTAGCCAAAAACTAACAGATTAAATCAAATTGAAATGAGTATAAAATATAAAAGATGATTGAAAAGCATTCAAAGATAATGGACAAAATAAGAGGAAAAAAAAAAAACAATAGTTACTATAATGTTTGTTAAATTTAGCCCATTATAACAGGACAAGTCATTTCTCCCATCGATCAATTCATCGATTATTTTATAGCGTCTTGACTAATGCACAAGTCTTTCATAAATGTAAAATATAAAGCCAGACCCCACCTTAAAAGCGTAGAAGCTAAGTTAGAATAAATGGAAGCGCTTCAAAAGAATGTGATCAGGGAACCTGCTTCCTCCAACTTACAAAAACATTGCTGGGTCAAGACGAGTTGCAAGATCCTAATACTATGAGCAAGTCCATTGAAAAAAGCTTGACCGGTTCAAAATTTCAATAAGCATCCTGGTTGACATTCATGGAGTAAAAACTAAAAACACAATGCATGTAAAGTTTTCAAGCTTTGATTGTTGAGTAAAGTGGAGCTTATTGAAGGTCACAAACAGATATACTGTGTACTGAATGATCAAACCAAGTTTTTCAAACTTGATTATTGAGTAACATATGAAGCTTTTTGAGAGTCACAAACACAAGTTTCTGGCACTATGACCTAATACTATGTGTATCGAATGATTATCAATTAACTGATAACCTCATTGTACTTGAATACACAGTCGTATAACCGTCCTCCAAGGAACTGGGCAACCTCTGGATGCTTTACCTGTAACAGAAGAATGGCAAGAAAATACATAAAACTGCACAACATGGTGCTCGATATTAACTGAAATGCAGCAATGACTGATCATAAGAATAAAATGTTACCATCCCAATCTTGAGGGAATCACACTTAAACTGCGCATAAAAATTGGTCTCTATTCCACGTCCCTGCCAAAAGCAATGAATATATTTGTGTTTAGACGGTATTGATATAGTTGGTCTTTTAATTGCACAATTAGTTTATCCACAAATGGCAATAACCAAACAAGAGCAAATCGGTCAGACTTTAGAACAATGATAACCGGACTACACTCTAATAGAGAACAGCTATCATTTATACATTTGCATTAAACATGATGAAATATCTTGATATAAAATTTTCATTGCTAATTATAATCAATGAACTGAAACTATAAAATAACTGATTAAAACTGTCACTAAAAGTAGTTCACCAGCATATAATACAATTTTGTTATCTAGGCTATATTTTGTCTAAGGTCTACCTTCACATTTTAAATTTTCTGAAAAGGATTTAGCATAAACTAATAAAGGAACATGTCAACTAAAATTGATATGCTAGTTATAACTTCATAATCTCCAGGCATGCAAAGAACTCTCACCATGCCCTCCAAAATAACCAGGTCAGCATCACCTGATAGGTAGACGAGCTCTTGTGACACTCTTGTAAGATCAATAACCTGCAAAATGGGGCTATAGTCACAGAATGAATACATCCATAATTTAAGGAGCTGGGCCACCAGAAAACAGAACACCCATCTCTTACCGGCATATCATTACCAGAATTGGCTATAAAAAGATTTGACATGTCCACCCCCAAGAGATTTCCATGTTCATCTTTCAACTGGTAAACCAACAAATAGTACATTAGATTAAAATATAAACAAAAAAGGCTAAAGATGTATTAATTTTGAAAGATCATCTAACACCTTTGAGATAATCTCAACCAGTTCAGGATAAGTTACATCATTGATAGAAGGCAACTCATTTGCAGCCAACACAACCTGCATTAAGCCAGAAAGGAAGGAAAAAGAAAAAGAAACGTGTAGAAGAATGCCCAGCATGGCAAATACAAAACTTTGAAACTAAGTGGACTTTTTGAAAGCATGATCCTTTGCCAATATAATCAAAGGAACATGTAACATTAGTTAAGATGACATGCATTCAGAAGGTACAGACCGAAGACTTTCATTATAACAAATGGAGAGATTGAAGAGGGAAATGACATTTTCCAATTTTTTGTCCCCCCCAACTGACATAATCTGAAGTAAAATTAATGCCACATTTGACATTGTGATCATGAAGGAATCCCATCTGATACAAATAGTAACCAAAAATAATACTGAAGCTAATTATCAAATCTTTTGGTCTTCAATATGAGCAACTGATGGAGTGTGTTCACATTCAAAGAAAAATCCAGGAATTTTAACCCAAAGGACAAACTGATACTAATAATGTGCACAAACACAAGCACACACACTCAAAGAACTTTCGTTAATTATAAAAGTAGATGCATGGAAAATTGGCAATATCAAATTGAAAGGTGGTTCACATTACTAAATAAATATCACAAAAAGAAAAAAAGCTGGCTTAAATCAGATAATGTGAGTGTTTAATTGAAGCAATATCTGTATCAAAGATATTCAGCACTTCTTTCTTTGTTGTTTTTACAATCTTATAATAAGCAAAGTACAGAGTTAAAGTAATAACTGAAACCCAATATATTTTTTATTAAAATTTTAAATTGAAAATTTTTGCCTTTTTGACACATACCTGGGTCCCACGTTGGAGCAACTCCCTTGCAAATGGTAAAATACCCAAAATTATATCTGCACCAGAATTATCAACAAAAATGACTGCCTGCCATTGCAAACAGATTGATCAGCAATGATACACGTGTATAACAGCACAAACTTCTTTCAAAGATGATATTTTCAAGATTTCAAAAACCTAAAATACTTAAATTGCTTGCCTTTTTCCATGGATTCTTGCTCCATTTTATTTTGAAGGTATCCAAGTCATCAATTACCCAAGGTCGAGGGACAAGATTTTGGCAACTAGCTAAAAAGGACATTCCATCCCTTGAAAAAACCTCCGCAAGCTTCAAGAAATGGAAAGGGAAATGAGTGTACATGAAATGCAATTACCACAGAGAATTATTCATATCCCCTTACAATTTATGTCCTAAATAATTATTCCTGTCTAATAGGATTCATATTCTTATAAACCAGCATTAAGAAGGAAAAGTTTTATCATAGAGTGAGGAAACAAGAAATACATTCATTAATGTGATTCAGCCATGAGAAAAGAATAACAAACATATTATTTCATAATGACAGTCTAGAAAAATCCCCAATAGAGCTAAAAGACAATTATTCTTCAAGTTTCCAATCTCATGGCTAATATATATAGAGAGAGATTAGTGTTTATTAGCCAGACCTGCACAAAACTAGACAGAAAAACACTTGAAATCTTCTACATTACTTTAATAGAGCATTATAGAAAAAGACCAAAACAACATCATTCTTACTTAAAAATAAGTTATTTTAGTCTTTTTCAATGAGAGTTTATTAAAATAATGTACTTTTTAATTGCTTTTCCCCCTAATTTTTTACACGTTTGGTTGATAAACATTTTTTCCATATACAATGTACTCGAGTGGCATAGTTACTAATTTTAGTTAATAGGTAAAATGTGTGTAAAAGCCTATAAAGAATGTAAAGTGTTTGAACTATTAATTATAATTTGTTATGAATTTTCAAAAAAGATATGAATCCGTAGCTTGTGATAGTGCATGTGACTTTTGGCTAAACATGTGGTTGGGGTAATGTTAAAGTGTATTATTAGATTTCTTAACCAAAAAGGTTTTCTTATTTAAAGTTTTAGGTTTTTGTATTATCCACTGGTCAAAATGTTAATGTAGGCATTTTTTTATTGAAATGAAACGCGTTGTGGGATGAACAAATAGTTAGAGAATGAGTTATGGCCTTTTTATTCAAGGAAGTGTTAATGTTAGTATGAGTCAAGTTTGACATGGGATGAATCGGTCACTCATCAGGTTAGGGGAAAGGAGTTGGGCCTAAAATAGAAATATGGGATTAAATTTTGTGCTATTGAAGTACCTAATAGTGCACCTATAGGTAAATCATACAATAACCCAAAATGCAGAAAATGATAGTGTTAATCACGGAAATGGGGAAATTATAACGAAAAAATAGAATCTCCAAAAAAAAAAAATGTAATCAATATCATTGCTTGCCAGAGTATGAATATATCAATGCTTGGAACTGCTGATGAAGAAGACAAAGACAGGTGACAAATAAAAGATTTCAAGAGGTGGAGAGCAAAAGAGAGAGAAAGAACCTAGAATCTGAGATTTCAAAATTTTTGTGCGGAGGGGGAAAACTAAAATTACCAACCTGAATTTCTAAGAAGACCATAAAAGAAATGTGAGGTCTACAGACAGGGGAGCAGAAGAAGGGAAATAGCAGCAGAAAGAAGACCCCATGCGTTTTATTTTAGTTAGTTTCAATAAGTTTCTTTTATATTAGAAGATTTAAGTAATTAGTAGTTGTTAATCAAGGAAAATTAAAGAGGCAAGAATTTTCCCTCTATTTTAGCCATGTGGTTTTTATGTGGCAGCGCCATGTAAGCGTTGACAAGAATTTTCCTCCTAACTAACGGGGAATGGCTTGGGTAGTCTAATTGGATGTGTTTTTGAAAGTTAACCAATTATTTTGGGAGAAAATAAACATTCTAAACAAAATTGGTAAAAAGTGCATAGTTAGTAGATGATTTATTAAATTTAACCATTTTCAGCCACATTTTAAATTTTAAGGGGAGTGTTGCACTAATTCTAAAATTTTAAAATGAGTGGCTAAGAATCAATGAAACACTTAAAACTAGTGTAAGTTAATTCCAACAACTTTTACACATCACTTACACAAAATCTTAACCATTTATCTATCTACCATGAATAGTTGAGTTAAAAAATAATTTTTTTTAATTTAAAAAGTCTAATAAATTTCAATCATTCATGGTAGAAAGATGAATGATCAAAGATTTTATGTCAACAATATATGTAAAAGTTGTATGACCTAATGCAATAGAGAGAGAGAGAGGGGGGGGGGGGGAGAAAGTGTTTATTAACTGTTAGATTGCAAGTTCTATTAATATAGATCATACATATAAATTTTCAGATTAATCCAGTAGGCCTAACCAGTTTGTTTATTACACAAAATTTAGTCATTAAATATATGACTGTAAATATAGTTTCTTTAATCAAAGAGTTCTGAATGTTAGATCAATTACGACCTACATGAATAGAATATTTAATCCAACAGTTAATTTTTGAAATTATTAATTAAAAGGTAAGTTTACATTAGGTCCTCCAAAAAAGTTGGGAGGATGTACACTATGCTAACCTCTTATACTTATAAATATTTTTAAAAATCAACCATTAGATTTAATTTTCTATTGGTGTAGATCATGCATATCAATTTTCTAGTTGGTCTTACATGTATAATTATTTGATTAAGAAACTGGTATTTTCTAAATATGTAATTAATAGTGGTAAATTTTTTTGTAATTAATAAACTAGTTATATATATTCAATCAATCTGAAAGTTTTCATGCATGATCTATATGATTAGAAAATTAAATCTAATGGTTGGTTTTTGAAAATATTTATGGGAAGATGGTGTTTTTAGAGTTGAGAGTCTAATTTTTTTTGGGAATCGGGATTGATATGCAATATTCTCATATATATTTAGTGTTTTACAAGTCAGATTGCAATACATGAATCCCTATATATATATATATATATGTACATATAAATATATATATGTATATTCAAGTTTCTAATCCCATAAAGAACTATTAGAATGCTGGTTGAGATGAGCAATGAACATGGTTATGTTTACAACTTACCATCAAACATAATCTTCTATTACAAGACTTTAGACAAAAAACGATAAGATTACTATAAAATGAAAAACTTGAGTACCTGTGCAGAACCAAGGTCAAATATGTTTCCAGCAAATATCCCCCTAACCAGATTCTCCACACGCTTCCCCTCATCGTCAATTGCATCATTAAGACGAACCACATGACCAAATAAGGATATGGCCTTTTCATTCTCATCATCCTATTGTATACAATCATCAAAGGACATACATAAAATAAAGAAAACAAACCATCGCCAGCCAAAACAGGAATGGTTAAAGGAAACCTAAATTTATGCCGATATACATCCCAAAAGAAGGATAACTGGTATTGTTCTTCAAGGTAATATATATTTTTTATTTTCTTATGGGTTCAAGGTAATATTAATATTTCATAGTTATATAGTTCAAAGTTAGTAGTTGGGATCCTAGCACAAAAAAATCGAGTTACATAATCCACAAAACTGCAATACAGTTTACACTTACTTTCACTTTCTTGAATATATCTCTAAATCCCAGTTCTCTAAGAACTTGCTCACGAAGGCGGCAGAGAAGCTGGAACATCCCGATTCATTAGAAAGAAATTATGGTATATCTTTAAGAATATAGCAAATTCCAGAACATATTGTGCAAAATAATTTTATGAAATATGACTTACAACACAATCAGGTGGCCCACCATGGCTTTCAGGGTCATTCTTCATGTCCTCCAGTATCTCCATATACCTTCCCCAAAATTATAGCACAAATATATAATTAAAAACTCTGCCAATCTATCTTTCTATTGGAACTTATCTACTCAAATTATAATATTGAAGTTCTAGAGAAACATATTTCATTTCATAAACAAGTGGTTGGTAAACTGAGTGTGCTCAAAGAACTCATTTCTATCACGGGTAGTAATGGATGAAGAATAACCAATACAGTTAGAGGACAGGAAAGAAAATCGTCTCAAACAATTGTGACTCTTACCCAATACTTTGCCTAATTGCATACATGTTATGTAAGACAGCAATAGCGAATATAATTTATGAAAATCAGGAGAAGGTAGAGATAATTAACAAATTGTAGTATGATCATAACAAGTCCATTTTGCAGCGCCGCTTGCAACATATTCCCACAAAGGAAATTCTCTTCGGAAATCAAAGCACAACCATTTGTAAAGAAGCAAGATACCCACAGAGTAGAAATACCTCTGAGCAAAATTTTCAGCTTTACTAGGAGCATCTGGAACGGTAGGATCACTCTCAGCTCGTTTTCTGCATGAAATTTAAGCAACGATCAAAATTCTCTAGCAAAAGGGGAAACAAAAATTGTACAAACTCAAATAATCTAATTTGAACAAATTTCTAAAACCTAAAATTCTTGAATACAAAGGAATTGCAAGGGGCGGGACTTAATTTAATTTCATTTTGTACTCCAAGAAGTAAAAAAATAAAAATAAAAACCAAGAGGCAGAGAAGAAAGTACTTGAAGGAGGGGATGGAATTGAGGAAGAGATCGATCCAGGCAATCTCCGTCGGAGTGGCCTTGTGAGGGTTGTCGGACCGGAAACGGTAGGGGATTGTGCAAGCCCTGTAGTTGGATTCGATCGGCGTCATGAGCAACGGAAATGGCACCATCTCTGAATCGCTCTCCATAGATTCCTTCTGACTAAGAGAAAGTGACGATTTATAAAATAAGTTTGATGATACAAACCAAACTCTTTTACTCCGCTCATAAACCCTTCCGTTTCTCTACAAGGCAGGAAACTTTTCTCCTTAGCATCTCCTTCGTTGAATCCTTCGTTGAATTCTTTTGGGTGGTACCTCTAAAACACCCCTAAACTCGTTATCTTCGCCTCAATTTAAAAGTTGAGGGGGTCAGTTGCCGTCCTAGGTGTTAGAAGTATTGAGTTATATTATCATAAAATTATTTTAATATTTAATAATTATATTTCAAAATAATTATTTATTATAAAATTATTTAATTAGATATATTATTATTTAAAATTAAATTAATTAATAATTTAATATATAATATAAAAATTTGAAATTTTTATTTAATTATTTAAGAATTTTATTAATTTTAAATAAAATGACTTTTGTTTACCTTTTCGAAATAATAGAGGTAAATAATTTATCAAATATATAAATTACAAAAGGTTATGTGAAAAATACTATAGACAATATTGTCAAACTAAGTTTTAACTCTCAACTGTAAAAGTTTACTCAGAATAACAGCATATAAAATGGAAACAAATGAAAAACATTCATTTTAGCATCATATAATATTATTTTATGAAAAATTATATTTTTTT